AAGAGCTCTCCATGCAGAATTAGAGTCATAAACCCTGCAAAGGTTTGGATCCATGATCTCATGAATATCACCTCGATCAAGCTTATGGCCAACCCATTGTACTATATGAGACTTTTCAGAGATCACGGGTTGGTTTGTGATCATCTCCAATAACACGACCCCGAAACTGTAGACATCACTCTTCTCACCTAGCCGGCCTGAATTGTAACATCTGCAAGGCAGGTGAAATATTTATATGAATTCAATTGTCGAAGAAGGAAGACAGTTTCAACACAAGTATTATATTTATATGAAAACTCATAATACTTACTCGGGATCAAGGTATCCAAAAGTACCAGCAATCACAGATGACTCATGAGATTCACCACCTCCAACTTGGAAAGATTTCGACAGCCCAAAATCGGCAAGTTTGGCCTGGAAATGCTCAGCTAGCAATATCTTTGGCGTTTTAACATCTCTATGAACCATTGGCGGTGTGCATCCTATGCAATCTATGAACCATGTCAACAGATTTATCGTAAAAACAAATGAATCAATTCTTGTTCTACTACTTATAACTTGATACAAACCTAGTGCAGTCTCCAAGGCTATTCGTAGTCGAATACCCCAATTGATGATGGATTTACCTCCTTTTCCTATATAAAGATCGTTAGATCCTCTCGCTCGTTAGATCCAGCATGAGCTAGCAAGCAATTACTATAAACATTACCTGCCAAATGTTGTTTTAAGTCTCCATTGGGCAGAAACTCATAGACGAGGGCCAAGTGATCTCCTTCATAGCAATACCCGACGAGGCTCACCAAATTTGTATGGTGAACTCTCAGAAGAAGATCAACCTAAGGTAGAATATCCATGTCAAGAAAGAGTTGAAATCCATAACCTTTGCTGGTTCTAAAAACAGACCATAATTTAGTTGGGAAGATCACAAAACTATGAATACCTCTGCTTTGAACTCTTTATAGCCTTGAGTTGAAGATTGAGAGAGTATTTTGACGGCCACTTGTTCAGAACCATTTACAGTACCGTGATACACCATGCCAAACCCTCCTTTACCTAAAACGCTTTGGAACTTATTTGTCATTTTGATGACCTCTGGGTATGTGAACCTTCTGCTGTTCTTATTAGCAAATGTAACATTCATCGTTGACGTACTCGGTAGCAGGTGTAGACCTGTACTTCAGAGTAAGGATGTTATCACATCGTTTTGTATTTGTATTACAAGATTTTCTATGTATTCTCATGTGATGTCTCTTGCAAATACCTTGTAGAACCGTTGATTTTTTCTTTTTGATTACAAAAAAAAGAACCAATACAGCAATGACAATGGCTGCACAAGCAACTGATGCAACAATTGGCACTAAAACTTTCTTCTTAGGCGGTTTTCTACATGAATCAGAGAGACAGAGCCTTGGGTTTCCTTCAACACTACATCAAGACAAGGGTTACATCAAATGCACAAAAGGGTTGTGGATAATAATAACTCAGCAAAGTTCAGAAATCTATGTGGAAAGTTTCTTACAATAGCTCTAGTCCTTCCCTTTGAAGAGCTTGAGGAATTGAACCATTAAGATTGTTCCCGCTTAAGTTTCTGCTAAGAAACGACCATGATCTGAGCTGGAGTCTGAAAAGCATCAGAAACAATGTTGAGAGACACTTACATGACCGACAACGATTTCATGTTGCCTAGAAACTCCAGCACCTCTCCAGTCAAGTTATTATTGGACAAGTCCCTAATAATAGAAAGAGAGAATAAAGGCATGAAGGTTTATAAAATGTATTCCCATCTATATAATACCAATTTCTCGCCTTCAATTATCAGTCGTAATACTTACAATTTTTCTAGTTGCGTAAGACTCTGAATGGCAGCTGCTATGGTTCCATTTAAACCATTCGAAGACAAGTTTCTAGAAATGTTCAAAATCATATTCAATGTATTAATGTTCATATTACTACAAAATCTTGAAGAGTTTGTGAGTGCGTTTGTACAACTATTTCGACTTACAAAGTAGTGATTCTTGGTGGCATGGACATGTCCGTGCTGCTGCAGTTTAAACCTTCCCACCTAAGCTGTTGAGGGAAACATGGATCACCTTGCCAGTTAATTCTACTCAATGCATAGGCCGCTGTGATGTTCTTTATAGCAGCCACTGACATAAAAAGATTACTAACATAAGAAATCTTAGACCTTACATGCATAACCTGGAAAAGAAAGTCACATACCATCGTTTTCATCTGTTTCGGACTGCGGAAACTGAATAACTGTGTAGACTTCAAAAGCGTTAAGTAGAGGTGGAAGAGTTGATCTGTTGGTTCTTATCAGCTGTATACTACATTTCCCTCCATCGCAAGTTCTTGGTGACTGAGTCATGATAGTATTTAGCACTAACTTTTCTGGAATTAGAGGGCCATAATGATATTTTCCATTGAATAGGATGTTGAATTCCCTGGTTTCATTGGCCTGCAGGTCTTGGATCTCATCAAAGTGTGCGTACAAGTAATATTGGTCATCAGGATTTTCCAAACTCCATTCAACCGTCAATGGCGCACTGGCATTAGTAGGAGTGGCAGCATTTTTTAGCGCGTCTTTTGGTGGAGCATATATGTTGGAATTGACCACATCGTGAGCAGTGGAAACCTAGGTCCATTCCGTCTTAGAGTACGGTTCCCATATGCGATCATAGACATCGCTCGAGTACCTGGAGGTGGGAGCAATGTTACTTTATGTCAAGGAACAATATCATTATGTGTCGAAGTTCTTTGACGAAACCACGTCACAAAGGGAC